GAATTTTGCTCACAGAAAAGTTGCAAGTTGATTGGCTAGAAGCCATGCAAATGGTCAATTAACTCGCAACTTGTCTGAATCTTCGCGTACGTTTCTCCTGCGAATGATTCAAGAATCGAGCCCCTGTTCCGTTAAGTTCATTTAACGCAAAACCGTCCCGACGCCGATTGCACCTTACGACGACGTCCACGTGACCCGCATTGCGAACGCTCGTCGTCGACGAGTTTAATCGAGGATTTTCAGTGAGCCTAATGCGCTATAATTAGAAGTGGCATCATTTCGCGAGATACGAGCGCGAGTTCTAAACATATAAACGGCTTACGAGTCGCGTAACGTGTCCCTAAGACGAGCGGCTAACGATATCTACGTGTGAGAGCTTGACGCCTCTTCCACTTTTCTACTTTTTTCCCCCCCTTTTCTTCGCGCACCTATTGCTTATCTATGCGGTACGTCATGTAAAATAAGCGGCGATGTGTGTGTGTGTGTTACGAGTATAAACCGGCCGGCAAGACAGCGTCATTCCTCTATAGACGGCCGAAGTAAACGCCTCCGTTTTCACGTAGAAATTCCGCTGGCTACTTAATTACCGACTCTGGTCAATTGTTGCCGGGCACTGGAAACCGAGCGTGATCTCGGCGAGCTCGATTCTCGATATCGCGCGCGAGGAAGAAAAAAAAGAGAGAGAGACGAAGAACGCCACCCGTGACATTTATTCGCGAGTGAAAATGTAAGGATCGCCGAACGCGGTATCGAACTTCGAACTCGGCCAGATCGTGACTCGGTTTCCCAATCCCCGACACTTTTACATAGCTATATACGTGTATATATATAATATATATATATGTACAACGACGTAAAACAGAAAACAACGAACAACGCGACGGGAAGAATTGTCTCGTGGCAGGGGGGCGAACGTGCCGTCGAATCTCGTAGTTAAAATGATCTAACATCGTTAAGTGTCTAACATCAGGAAGCTTCTCATGACCTGAGCTTATTCCGCGCTAATTTGAGTTCTAGGGTCTTAACAAACGAATCTATCCGAATTGCGCTACGTTCCGTCTACCTTGCCTCGCGCTACTCGTACGCGATTTCCAAACACACTCGGGGAGAAACCAGTACGGATATCGATCGACGGCGGAGCTTGAATATCTACGAGCTTCAATATTAGACCTCAATTCCCGCCTCCTCCTCCTCCTCCCCCTCCTCGCACAGAGGTTACAGAGGGAGAACGGAAGAAAGAGCAACGAGATAGAGCCGTACATTGTTCCCTAGATTTATCTAAGAAGCTCTCGGCATATTTTCTTACATACGCATATTCTCGCTCGGCGATCGCCAAGTCGCGACGATACAGGCCAATGCACTTTTTTCCCCTTCATCGTGTGAAAAGCGCGAGAACGATTCCTAACACACATACATATAAATCTATAATGTATCAACACATGTGTCTATATTGTGTATCGCTTTTATACGGCTCGTCCCGTTTTTACTATATTATCTTCCGGCCAGTTCGAAGCCGATATTCTTAAATCTAATTGATCGGACATTAGATACCAGAGCCACGTTCTAACTTCGTAGAAAAAGTTCGAAGCTAAAGAATGAACAAAATGCGAATAATAAATAGCAGTGTTGTAATTATTATTATAAAATAGCCGATTTCCTGTTTAAACGATCGCTAACATTCTCTACCGAGGCGAAAGTTCATATAAATTATTAGAGATATAATACGCAAGACTCGCTCAGTGAAGATTCTTGCGTCAAGCGGGGGGAAAAAATAGCTAACGTCGACACACGGAAAGTAATGGACGATTTCTTTTCACATACCGACGAAAAGCTCTCGTCTCCGAATTATCCATATATCGGCCCGTAAGAGATAATACAGTTGAAATGGGAACCCTGTACATTTTGATAACATTACACTTCGATTTTCGTTTCGCATGGTTGCTCGCAATATTACCTGCCTACACATTTGTTCTCTCTACGCCGAATACACGTAAATAATGATACACGCAATATACGTGATACTATACGCGAACGAGAGCCATTATCATGTCATGGTCTCGTCATCTATCGACAGAACGAAAGCTCCTTCGAATAACTACACGCTGGTCTCTATCTATTACTAGATTCGAGGTACAATATCGTAGTGTCAATTGCAAAAAGAGTACCCACAATTGTATATTAAGCGAACGAATAGTAAATTTATATAATAAATAACGCTACGCGCTGAAACACATAATATGGTAAATTCGTAATGAGCATAGCACGAGGCCCTACGATTTCAGCTTTACTCCATCCAAGACTTAAAGCTTATAGGCGAGTTCGAAAGCAGCACCTAGCTATTAGGAAGAACGAAAGAATACGATTGTAGACAGTGTAAGTCGGGTAGGACCTCGATACTACGTACGCTCGACTAGCCATTCTACTAGTTTAGTACATAGAAATTATCTATATTCTCTCTATATAGGAACAATTGAACGAGTAAAACATCAAATAACTACTACAAGTCAACTATATAAAGTTCACATAACTGTGTACGCAAAGAACTGAACCAGACTTGACTCGATAAAAAAAAAAGTAACAAACTCATTAAAACTTTAGATATTAATCAACATATTTCAGTTATCGACGTATAAATACTGGTCGTCTACAAAAGCTTCTACCACTTTCGGACATGACAAAGTGGTCGCGTCAAATCAATAACCGTCTAATCTATAAACGCAAGTCGCAGGTAACAAATTATACATATCGCAAGTAGCCGTCTCACGACGAGTCTCTTTAAGTAGGACAGAAAAACTAACTAGAAAAATAACTACGGATCAACTATGCGTTGATAGCCCCGAAGTACGTATCGATCGCAATTTACCACGCTACCATCAATTTAACATTAATCTTACAAAGCCGTTTAGAGAAATACTTTCACGATATTCAATGGCGGACGAGATTCGCGTTTTTTTTTCTACGACGAGAGATATGAGTTTCGATACAACGTGATCGAATAACGATACGATCGTTATCACGAGTGCTTGACTGTGCGTCACCAATAGCATCATTTTTAAGTTTTACGACATATATATACATATATATGCATAAGATAAGCATTTTTCAATCCTAAGGAATTGATAGTTTAAGATCGAAACGAGGGATTGGTTTCTCTAAATAACTGGTACCTTTCCAAGTCAATCTTAAGAAAGGTATTTAGAGAAATTAACTATCGTTCTCTCTCTCTCTTTCGATCTCAATTATCAATTTGCGGATTTGCCCGCTGCCTTAGTGAAAACTTATACAAATGTTTGGTCTATGTATGCATGTATGTCGTTTTTTATGATATATATATATGGTAATCATAGCTTAACAGTCTCGCGCCTCGAACATTGGTCAGTTCCTGCCATATTTTCGGCTATATTGTTACGACATCGCTTTTTTTTTTATTTACATATACGGACGCGGCGCACTTATACTGCTTTGTTGCAACGGGCACACATACATATACGTACGCATACAACACGCGGAGTGTCTTTGACCAACGGCACTTTCTTTCATCTGAATATTGGCTAAGATCACGTTTCACAAAACTTTCCGGAATTTGATATTCGAATTTTCCAATACAAAATATAATTGCATAAAAATTTTCCCAGAACCAAATATTGAAATCGATAGTGAGTAACGTTATTTTTATTTTAAAAAATAATAAAGACCAATGCCGTTGGTCAAAAAGCAACTGTTTACATATACAATACGTCGTATCCATTTGAAACGAGAATAACCAATATTATTCCAAAGGCTCCAAAATATAAAGTAAATTTTAATTTAAATCTAATAGCGAACGTATTAGGTCTGTCATTGTGTAGCGACGACAGTCCCTTGCGCCAGTGGTACTGTAGCGGATAAACTAACTGTTAGCTCACCAAGTTATGGAATATTAAATATTGAACGTATTAAAAATGATGCAGATTCACTGAGTTTAGTTTTCATTGTTGAAAATAGTTGAAAATGGCTTGTATATGTACATTCATTTATAAAATCATTACCTAAAATTTCCTTGAGATTAACAGCACTCGAAATTGAATTTAAAATTACATGTTTGATTGATTTAGCAAACATGATTTGAAGAACTCAGACCAAAACTGCCGTACAGTCTTCACGTTAATTATTTGTAAAATTCATTTAAAACGCAATTTTATACTTGAAGTAAACTTTGCAAATTAGGTTTTTTATCCACTCTCGCATCGAGCCTGTCTAGCTTTCGTATCCTGATCACACACATAATACGACATTGCCTTGTCTCCACTTCACAGCCACAATGCTTGGTCATCCTAGTTTCAAAATACTGATATGTGCGCGCGTTTGTATGCGTGTCACTGTGTACGCGTGCGTGCGCAAGTCTGCAGTAACATTGCATGCAGTTTAAAAGGGATTGTCAAACACATATCTATGCTGTATCATTAATGCTCTTAACGCGCGATATGCGGTATCACGCTAGACGATTTTATACTCGGACGTTCGTAAAACACGCGTGTACTTCTAAGCGCGCGAATTTTCGTTTATTCTGAAGAGAAGTAGACGAAAACGGAACAACCATACTGGATTGCGTAATCGATTGAGAAAAATTGTTTCGTCGACAAGCTTATCTCCAAACTATCTTAGATCCATTGTGGAAAGCTGAATTTAATAGCGAATTCGGTTGCTCGCACTGGTGCAACATTCAGTGCGCACCAAGGTTCGTTTACAGTCAATTCTTACATTTAAGGCTTATTTTACATACAGCATCTGTACAGATCATTTTTTGGCTAAATGAGTTGTTTAATGTGTATTTAAGATGATAAATGTAAGAACTGACTCTGAACAAGCCTTAGCGTGCACTCAGTGCGCGCTAGTGCGAGCAACCGAATTCGCTTGTAAGACAGTCTGGAACGATAAACTCCTCGCACTGTTTACTGCGACACGCGACCCGGTGATCGCGAAAGAGATCGAAGCGCGAAGGTTGATTGACCTCTCGGTTACTCTCTCGGTTACAATTAAATGCCAGATAATAGAAACTTTAGGTACTAATTAGCATTGGCTACAAGTACGCGACCGGCGCATTCGTTCGCGATTTCATCGCGATATGTCTGTCGCTCCGCTCGCGGCGATGATTACGTCTGATACAGAGATAACAATAAGTGATTCGTGAAGCAGGAACAGCATAACACACAGCAACGACATAAAGTAATACCGCGTATACGTGCGCACGTGTGTCTCACGTATACGCGCGTATACACATTTACGTATGTACTGTGCAAGAGTTTCATGTGCGGGTGTAGCTCGTATGTCGTTGTGCGTATACCTGTAGATGTAATGTAGATGATTACTTGGCGTATGTGCGTGTCGTATATGTATCTCTTGTTTTTTTTCCCCGTATTCGTAAAGTGAGAATACATCCGGAGCGATACCAGTAGTGAAAAGTCTGACATTAGTACTATATATAAACAACATTTTAATATACATATATATATGTATATATATTAAAGCTTATATATATAACATATATATATAAGCTGTAAGTATATATATATAAGCTCGTGTTGCATGCGATGAAATATCGCACTTACACTTGGCGAAATATTCAAATCCTGGAACATCTACTACCACATTATGGGTCACACATTCAAGGAAGGCCACATTGAGCTAATCTAACGAGTTACTGCCGAACATCTTGAACGAGTACATCGGCGTTCTCTGCCTATCTATACCTCGTTTAACTTAGGATACGTATATAAACGAGTAATTGTACAAAGAACGGCGTCTTTCTATCATAATTCTAAAGGATGTAATACATCTGAGCAATCTCGTTCTTGTTGCGAGTTACGAGTCGTCAACGATTTTTCGAAGCTAGCGGCCGTTCACCGGTTCAAACACGATCGACACTGCTCTCGGTTTATTTCCATTTGGCGTCGAGGGAAAAAAGCGATATTTCTTTCTGTTTGACACACGACAGAGATAAACCGATAAAGGATAGGCAGTTGAGCGAAACTCTCGTATCTAAATCGGTGTTCTCGAAAAGCTAAGTCGGTTACACTGTCGTAAGCATTAAAATACGTACGGTAGAAAACTATGGAGTTATTAATAACCTGTAAAAAGTCGCACGCGTTTCCAAATGTCCGTTTTTTTTTTTTACGCATTTAGTTCATTCGTAATGTATTACCTCGTGTATCGCGAGTGAAAGTTTTGAATTTAATGGGCGGCATTTTGTTTCAACAGTAAAATTAATCGTAATACACCAGCAAAAGCTTTTCAAAAACGTAATTACTGTACGTAAGTAAAAAGCTGCTGGACTCTCTTCGATTTAGTTACTTTTAAGATGAGCGATACCAAGTGGATTCAGCGCAAGTTTGCTAGGTATTGCTTGTGTAATCGTTGGTTCCGTCTTTCGTTTGACTTTCGCTGTGGGCTTTCGCCTCTAGGACTGGATCCTTGCAAGTCTCGACGACTTTCTTCTCTACGGCCAAGTCATAAAGTAGTGTAGCCTGAAGCGCATTATACATACCGGTCCGCGCGTACCGCGACGCCTTTGTCAATTCGTGGACGCTTCCAGCCAGGGTCAGAATATCTGCACACACGCACGCGTAAAATGTTATACAAAATATTGCAAATTGTAAGGGTCGATATTTAACATCTCAGGTTACCGCGCGTTCAATTAGATGGCTTTGTTGCTTTTGGCGTTACGTTACTTTCTTATCTCTATTTTTTCAATTAAACAAAAAGATTGTAGACTTGTATCTGCTTCCTCCGCGAGTTAGAAACCTTTCAATTGATCCTGGAAGGAGTCTTGTCGTGTAAAAGCGGATCTGTTATGAATTTTAAGAGTTTCATCTACAAGTTTTCAAGAGTTAACTCCAAAATTAAAATCTTGACTGTTTACTCGCTTTCGCTTCGCAGATGAAGACAATCAGAATAGACTAACTCTCGAGGATTTGCTCGGGAGTTAAATTAATTGTTCGCGAACGATCTGCTTTCGCGCATCAATCTTCGATGCGTACCGCATTGTAAAAATATTCGTAAGAGCTCTCGCTCGACCACGAGACTCACCATTGTCGTCGTACGCTAAAATGCAATGTGGATTCTCCTTCTGACGCTTGATGGCATTCGTGATCTCTTGCTTGCGGCACTCTTGAACGTACTTGATAGCTTCCAGCCAATATTCCATGGCTTTGTGCACACGCTGGTTCATCGTGGTCCCACGTAAGCGTTCCATCTGTTTCGCAAAATGAAATGTACGTTTAATACACGTTGCGTAGCGTAAAGGGCGTAAAAAAAAAGCTGCGACACAATTGTTCCGCCATTTACAGAAAGAAAGACACCGGCCACCGCTCACCTTCGCTATCAACGTAATGACGCGCGCGTGTTCCCTCAAGTAGTCGATTATCAGGCGATCCACCCTCGACGGGTTTCCCTGTAGACGCGGGATGGGTATGTTATTCGCGCTGGTCACCCGCTTGCCCGGGAAATGCGCGGCCAATCCAGCCTCGCACTTCTTGCGCTCCTTCTCCAACTGCTTGAACTGCTCGTACGTTTGCTCGAGATTGAAATGCAGTATACTCGAGGGGCCGGTCTTGCGGGCCGCGCCGCTGCCGTTTCTGAAACTCAAGTTTCCGCCGTAGAGCGCGGAGAAGAGTCGCGGCACGGGATGGACCGGCACGGGAACGTGGACCGGCATCACCGACGGGTACGCGCCCGATCGCACGGCGCTCGTGCCCGACATCATGCCCGAGTTGAAGATGATATCGGGGGGCGGGATCCCGGGCGGAATGCTCTGTATCTTGGATATATGGTGTCGTTGTTTCAAAATGTGACTGAAGGCGTCCTTGTCCAGGGTGGAGGCCGCGATGCGATCGGTCAGGTGGCTTCCCGAGGGGAACGCGATCTCCTTCGTCAGGTCGAACCCGTCCAGCTTGTACGCGTTGACCTTAGGCTGCTTTAAGTCGTTGTGATAGAACGCCGAATTTTGCTGCAGTATCTTGAGAGCGTCGCCACTGTTGGCAGTGTACTGTTGATAATTGTGACAGCCGTACTTGGCGACCGGCTGGTACAAGTTGCGCGAGCTCAGATTCTTGGGGAATCCTATCGGCGAGTACGTCTTGCTCTCGACGGACTTGGACTTCGGATTGATCATCTTCAGCAGGCTGTTGTCGATCCTACAGTCGCTGGGGAAGCAAACGTTCTCGTTCGTGTCCAGATTACTCGCCGAGGACGCGACAAAGTTGTTGGTACCAGGGGGATAATAGTCGATCAGGTTTTTGTAATCTTGGTCCACAGCTTGATCCAGTTTGTAGCTACGGGGCTGCGACTGCAAGAACTGTATCTGCTCGCTGGATATGCCGATGCTCGTCATGTTGAGCCTGTCGTGAACGTCCTTGAAGTCGCCGATGCCGTTGCGCTGCATGCCGCTGCCGAAGCAGGTGTGCAGGGCGGTGTCGGCGGGCGAGAAGTGCTGCAGCGGCGAGTTGGACAGGAAGCCGGAATCGACGCTGAGGTCGGTCATCGCCGAGTTGGGCCTGTAGCCGGGGCCCTGGCTAGAGTTGCCGTACACGTCGTGCACGTTCATCATCGCGCCGCCGTACGAGCCGGACGGCACGCTCTGCCGCATGCCGTTGTGGTACTCGAGCTCGCCGATGGGAACGGGATTCGGGGAGTCGAGCGCCAGGGTTAACGCGGTCACGTTGAAATTGAGATCCGGCTTGGCGCAACTGGCGGCGAGCCGCGAGTAATTGCCGCTCAGCTCGGCGCGGCATCCCATCGAGGGGGCGAGCATGGGCTCCGTCGTCCAGCTGCCGGGCTGCTTACCGCCGTAACTCGCCCCGCTCGTGGTAGTCAGCAGGTCGTTGCACAACGGCATGCCGCTGCCGCTCGTGTACATGTCGTTGGAGTGCGAGCCGTGCGGCGCCCGCGGATCGGACGAATACGCGCCGCTCGACGCGACGTCGCTGCCGCACATATTGCTCTGCTCCGCGGACTGCCGCACGCACGCGCCGAGGCTCAGCGTCTTCAGGTCGTTGCAGAGATTGTTGGAATGATGGTACTCGCTCTTGGCGTTGTTATAAATATTGTGCAGCTTGCTGGACAGCGGATAGCGAGCGACCAGGTGGTCGACGTCGGTCAGGCAGGCGTCCAGACTGTCCGCGACATGGCTGGAGCAGGAATTGCCCAGGTCCGCCGTCTGATAGTGACGCGCGCCCCCGCTGTTGTAGCTGTTGTAACAGGTGTCAATGGTAATAGAGTCCTCGTCGAGAATCTTGGATACCAAGTCGTTGACCATGGGGTTGTTTAAATCTTGACCATCCTCGTCTTCGACGTTCATCTAAACAGACCGCGGTTTCAGTGCACGACGACCCGCCGCGTTGGCGCGCGACTAATAAGTCCTACTTACGTTTCTTTTTGCGCCGCAGCCGGCTAAGTCATAGCCCCAGTGATTGTACTCCACGCCGTGCACGTCCCTAGAGTAAACCTTCCGCGGTACTTCCAGCATATTGACACCACGCTCGGCCTCGTTATTCTACAAGAAGCAATTCGTCGACATGAGATCTTCTCGTGGGACACGGGGCGGCGGGCATCGCGGGGGTGGGGGCGCGACGCGGCGCGGCCCGAGTGGACGCGAGGGAGCAACTCCCGCGGGGAAGTCTCACCCTGCCCTTCGCGCCCTACCGTGGCACGTACTCGCGTCGCGAGCGGCGGCGGAGAGAGAGAGAGACGGAGATATAGAGAGTCTATCGATTGTTTTCGAACGGCGCGACTCGGGGGGGCGGCACGCCACGGGCGACTACGTCTCGGCCGCGACGCGAGTCGACAAAGTAAAATCTTAATAAACGGAATCGAGCGCGCGGACGTCGAAGGCTATCGCTGTCACGATCCGCGGTGGAGCGGCGGGGGAGGGGGAGGGGGGGCGGCCGCCGCGCCGCGCGCGGGCACGCACGGACACGCGCGCGCGCGCGCACACGTATACGACACGTACGACGAGAGAGACAGCAGGCACACGCACACCCAGGGCAGATCCAATAATACACCGCGAGTATCCGCGCTCGCCGATCGCGACGAGCGAGGATAGACGCGGCTCCGACATCGTCACCGTTCACGCACTCACTCACTCACTCTCTCTCTCTCTCTCGCGGGGGACTACGCGGGCGGCAGGGGGGGGGGGGGGCGGGCGTTCGCCCGTTACGGCGAACGGCTGCAAACAAACGCGGATCGCACCCTCCCGCGCCTTCCTCGTCGGAGTCGCCGACGGTGTCCCGTTTCTTCTTAGCCGCAATTCTACGCGGTATCTTCCTCCTCCTCTTCGTTCGTGTCGTTGCGAGCGTACCGCGCCGCGGCCCGAATAAACCGCTGGCCCGTATCCTGCGTCGAGCCGCGGGAGAAAGCCCCCCCCCCCTCTCTCCGCCGAGAGCTTTCGGCGGAGGCGCGACGAGGAGTCACTTACGCGTGTATCGAGATGGGAAGAGAACGTGCCCTCACCTTGCCAGCGGCGAAAGCATTGCTGCCGATAATCGCGGCCAGATTATGCACCTCGGACAGAGCCATCGGTAAAAAAAAATCCGCGGCGGTCGTCACCACCGTCACCCAGCACCACCATCGCTACTCGCCATCGCCCGTTCGCTCTCTCGCGCGGCGGCAGCAGCCAGCCGCGAGCATTCTCGATCGGTCCCGATTGCGACTCCAGTCGGTCGGTCGGTCGGTCGGTCGGTCCGCTCCCCCCACCACTCTCCGCCGGCCGTCGCGCACCGCCGTCGACTGCCGTTCGCGTGCCCTGCGCCGCACCCACGCTGCGACCAACACCGCACTGACCTACATGGGATCCGCCGCGATCGGCGTGTCCGTGCGACGCGACGATCCCTTTTCCGACGGATGATCCGTCTAGAAACGAACGTCTCGCCGTTGCGGTCTCGCGCGCATCTGTTACGCCATTTAATCGACCATTTATTCGCCGTTGAAAATTTAATCGAGACCACAGTATTTAAATATTTGTTATTTACATGTAATACTAAATTTATGGCACTTTCTCGGAAACTGCGACGCGTGATGGGAAGGTCTTCCTTCACACTTATTTTCTCGCGGTTTAATCCCGCCTGTGTATCTTACACGTGCGGACGCGGTCATCGAATGCAGGTCGTTTAACAAGAAAACGGGATCTTTATTGGGGCCTCACGATATAAAGAAATTTTTCTTGTAGTAACGCAGCTCGTTCAGGCTGTCCTTTATGTCGTGCTCGGCCCTGTGAGAATGTTGCTTTCTCGGAGCTGCCTTACTTATCTCCGGCTGCCATCTCCTAAGCACAGAAGATTGCATCTTTTACTTATTTGCAAGCACGCACGTCCAACCTTATGAAGAACGTGCGCGATGTTAAAACGCAACTGCGATCGAATTGTCTCAAATCTACCTAGCCAGATCTTTAACGGTGCTGACGTCGATAATCCTGTAGTGTAAATAATCGTCGACCAGCGGCATGTACTTCCTCAGGAACATGCGGTCCATGTATACCGAATTTCCAGCCAGCGGGCAGGCTCCTCGCGGGACGTGGTTCTCCAAGAAGCGCAGCGTGCTCCGCTGCGCCTCCTCCAGCGTGGTCTCGCTCAGTCGACACGCTTGGATCAGGCCGGTCTGGAATTGAATTCAACAACGGTTAGCGGCGTCGTGTCGTCGCGGCGCGAAAAGCGTTCCGGAGAAAAAGGGAGAGACGCGATTGCCTTTCTGTGTTGTAATTTGCACCACTCGGACATGTTCTCCAAGACCTTGTCCGGCTGGTGTATAACAATGTTGAGGTGGTCGCTCGCGAGCGCCAAGTGCTCGTCCGTCACGAAGCACGCGACTTCCAGGATGTGACACGTCTCCACCTCCAGCCCTGTCATCTGAAACATCCAGTTCCTTTCAACACTCTCCTTGCCGTCGCGCAGTCAGGCGGCTCGTAACGCTCGCGCACCTCCATGTCGAGCCAGACAATGTGCCTCTCGTTTCTAGCCTCGTTTCGCGTCTTCGCCGCCGTCGAGACCGCACGATCTAAACGGAGTAAACATTAAGATTGAAATCACCGTTCAGCGTTTGACAGATTTTTAACTACTTAAACCAAAACAGACTGACCGCGTGATATGAAGCCACGCAGTTTCCTTTCGCAGTCAGTAAAACGCAAGGTGCAAAGGCTCTTTGTTATTCGGAAATAATGGCAAATTTTTATTTTAAATGATATTGGCCCACTGCTTATGTTCATTTGTTGAATTTTAAACGTTAACAGGGAAAAGTAAGTTCTCATAGTTGCGCACAGACAGGCAGGGATGCCTGGACATTTCTATAATGTATTCTATAATTGTAGAAATGTCCAGGCACTCTCCTTCCTGCCTGTTTACCAGTGGGATCTGGCGTTTACTCCGGGTTGTCTTAAGTTTACCCTATCGTGGGAACCTTCCAACCGTTAGGTTATATATCAGATATCTTTAAAAATCTCTTTGGAATTGATGCTAAATCCTGATTAAGCACTGAATCCAACACTAGGTGCTTGAGCTCCTTCAGGCGCTGAATTTTCGAGACTTTCCCTTAACGGGACGAGGGCCGGGATCAAACCGAGGACCCTACTCATTACTCGTCTCACTCGTGTTAGCGCAGAGCTCATCCCGTCTACTCCAGTTAGGGACTTAAAGGCTAGATTTATGCGACAATCGTGCAATTACCGCTATTTAAGCAGCGTCGAGCCTCGCGATGCAGGTACCTGGAAAGAAATCCAGTAGCGCGCGCAATAATCATGTTCGCCGACGTGGAATCAACCTAACCTAACCTTGACATACGCACGTTGCGGGACGTATTGCATGCGGGTAAAATATAATATAAAATTGCCAGCGCCGCTCGTTCGTCGGGCAATCGTTCGCAGCGTCGAAAATGAGTCTGTCTAAATTAACGACGACGCGATAACGATTTTTAAACGGTGCCGTTTTAAAGAACAACCGCAATCGGGAGCGAAGAAACAACTGGTCCGCACGTGAAACTCGCACGGTAAACGCGGTCGACGACGGGTCGCGCAGCAAGTTCGAAGGCGGCAGGCCTCGCGCTCTCGATCGCGATTGGTCGACTCGGTCCTGCCCGCGCGTCATGTTCCGTCGACGGTAACCTGCGGAAAAAAAAACCCGTTGTCTCGCCCTTTCTCGCGCGACGACGATCCGATCCCTACGTGGCACGTGCGCGTGTCTTCTTCCCTTTGCGCTCCCGTTTCTCGCGGCGGCGAAGCAGCCACGATATGTACTCTCGCAGGGCCGAATGAACGTCAATAGCCCCTGTGGCCTAATGGATAAGGCATCGGTCTCCTAAACCGGGGATTGTGGGTTCGAGTCCCACCAGGGGTACAGATTGCTTTTTACGACTCCAGTTCTTCGTTTTTTTTCTTTTTATCATCTTGATCCGGATTCGTCCGCCGTCCTCCTGCAAGGGCATTTCATTATTACATTTTTATCACGTCGATATTGTATGCCGTATCTGCCAACTGTCCTGGGCCGCCTTGTCTCCACTCGTCTCGAAGTTAGAGGCGGAGAGAGACCCGAGAGCGGCCACGCCGGCATTTTAGTTGATACTAGTTTGCTATAAATACCCAAGTATTAGGATTCTAATGATACAGATAAATTAATGTAATCTTAGTTTCTTTCTCATAATTATATAAAACAAATAAAAACATTGTTAAACTTATTAAGAAAAATAAGTAGAAAAAGAGAATATACATACATATATATATAATTTATATTATATATAAATACAAAATATTAGAAAGGGGAAGAAAAATACATACGTGCTCACTTCAACGCTATCTGGTAAATTTTCTGTATAATATTTTAACAATATAATTGTGAATATACAATGAGATCTTGAGCTGTTTTCATTCAATGCATTCAGTTGCGGCTACTTTTAAATTATATTGCCCCGCCATTAAGATCAGGTAAGCTTCTGCCGCCGAGTTAACATAAATAGTCTTTAAATTTTTTATAAAGGCTCTGCCATTAGAGTCCGTTACTAATTTCAAAGGTATCCTCTTTTCCTGGCATTCATTTGACAATAAATCATATACAATTTCATCATAGATTTCCGCAAATGAAACCCAAACTGAGTAATGAGCATCATAACACTGACTGGGGCAATTCGCCCCAGTTGATTCCTCTTGCAACAATTTTTGCATTTGTTTGTAGGTAATTAGGTTCTGATGCTTATCGGAACAGAATGACAGCAATTTAATTTTTGCTTCAAGCTCTTGTGTACGTTTAAGTGCGTCAAGATTGATAACGTCGCTATAATGCACAGGTTTATAAAATGGATTTGGTGTTGTTGTAATATTGTTAAACACAAATTCCAGTGCTCGTGGTATAATTCCAGGTGAAGTAGCGGTCCTTTGCAAGGTATACTATATAAGACTTGCCAGAATTTGTAGTACCTAATTAAAAAATTACATTACTACCACTAAGCATTTCTTTATGTGCAATGTTCATGAGTTTCTATACATATACTACAGAGTTTTGACAATAATAATGTTCTATTGAGCAAATAATATTGAAATAATATAGACAAAATCTGTATTATCAGCATATCGACATTAAATATAAAAAGAGAAATTAAAGCTCTTTGAAAAAGTTATAGAAAATTTGTAATACAGCGTCTTGTGACAATTTTATAGCGCTTGCTAGTTAAGTAATTTTATAAGTTTCAAATTGCAGTTTTTGGATACAAAATTATCTAAAGAGCTTGATATATTTTTCAATTAACAATTTACAAGATTTATATAACTGTAGGATAAATTGTTAGAATTTATAAATTTCAAAATTTTTGGAAAAATGTGTGCTTTGCAACAAAGAGTGAAAATCTATCTTTGATAAGAATACATTGTGTACATCTGTAGTAGAAGTAGAGATAAAAAAATTTCAATATCTCAATAAATATAACATTTGGGATGTTTATAAATTATTTTGTTTATCTAAATAAGTATTATAAATTCTGAAAGCTTTTAATTCGTTTTTCCTCAAGTACCTCATATTGCAGACTTACCATGTGTCATTATAGTACAATTTTCGCGAGGTCTCGCAGTACGCGATCCGGCACATCTCGGCAATCCGGCACTGCGCGACACGCGCGCGCGCGGGCCACTGAATAGTTCGCCGACCGCCGCTAGGCCGCGCATGGCCGCGGGTGAAAAACATGGGAGTAAAATCCGGTCTCGTACAGTATATAAGGAGGCCCGCGCGGAAGCCCGGGCAGAAACAACTCAAATGAAATTATTTGAGAAAACGGTACAGCAAAACATGATTGATTCCATAGCTGGGCAAAATTCTATCTGTTTCTGACTGTTCTACTATGCGTTTTCGCGAAATAATATGTTCCGGTAACTCTGAGGATTGCCTCAGGTCCGAAACGGTGCGTGGATTCCGCCTCGTCCGAGACGCGAAGAGAAAGAGTCGAGTCCACGAGAGCAATCACGTGTACGCTCGCGTAGAGACCCTCTAATCAGAGTCTGGCCAACAGAGTGGTCCGCCATGTTTAGTCAAATCCAACGAGAGAGAGGGCAGTACGAATATCTCAAAGAGAGAGTGAGATATTCGT